TGCTGTTGTATTCATTCGTACTCATCTACTCACAGACTCATGTTGATGCTGCTCTTGTTCAGTGTATTGTTTTGCAATATTAGGGTTTAGCATATTAGTTTATATCTTAAATTAATCTTAAAGCAAGATGGCGCCAGTGTTTGAGGCTCGCTGTCTGCTGCTCCTACTATTTTTTCTGTTGTCTATTTTTATCCTCAATGCAAGTGTAAACGCTCGGATTGTCTATGATCGCCAAAAATTGCTAGACATTGGAGCTTCGATTGGAGCCTCGACTGGTAATATGTTATCGTGGAATCCTACTAGTGGAAAAACCCCGCCCTTGTTGCTGGGCATTCCAGCTTACCTGTGTCGCTTCTGGCCTCTACCTTTTCGACGGAAGCGCCGTGGCAAACGTAGCGGCTGGTTGGTGCGTTTGAAGGCTGCTTTGGGGCATCGATGTCCAGACCCATTCAATGTTCGTGGGCGGGTGCCGCGCCTCTACTTCCCGTTACGTGCGTTGGATCCTGTGGGTACCTGTTTAGTGCCTGTTGATGGAGGCCATGATGGACTGTTCCAGCCCCGTTTTCCCTGCACTCCTCGGCCCTATAGACGTGTGGTGAATCTTCACAACCTGCGACCTCTTCGCCGGGAATCTTGGACGTCAGATGGTGGCGGAGATCCGCCAATCTCTGCCAGGATCGGTCTGATAAATGCTAGGTCGCTAGCTAACAAAACCTTCGCCATTAAGGATTACTTTTCCTCTCAAAGCCTGGATTTCTTATTCATAACGGAATCTTGGACAACTGGTATGGGTGAGTCCAGCGTTTTTAATGAACTCTTGCCGCAAAACTGCTGCTATTTCAATTTTCCAAGGATGTCTGGACGAGGAGGAGGAATAGTAGCGGTTTTTAAAAGCTGTTTTACTTGTAAACAGTTGCATCCAGTCCGTTTTGGTAGCTTTGAGCTTGGTCTCTTTGAACTTCTTAGCTCCCACACAGTGTTGTGTGCGGTGGTCTATCGGCCCCCTAAATATAACAAAAATTTTATAAGTGATTTTTCTGATTTCTTGGCTGATATCATGCCACGATATGACAGAGTTTTATTGGTTGGTGATTTTAATATTCGTATCTGTTGTCCTACTTCACCTATGGCTCAGTCGTTTCTTAATGTTATTGAGTCTTTTAATCTTGTGCAGTCTGTAACTGGTGCTACCCATGAGCATGGACACACTCTTGACTTGGTTTTATCTTATGGTCTACCAGTTTTTAATTTAGTGATTGGTGACCCGTTATTTTCAGACCATATGCCTGTTTTATTTGAGATAAAGCAGTCTATTACTAAGGTTAAACCATGTGCACCAGTTCGGTTCTGTCGTGTTCTTAACCCTTCTACTGCTGTTCAGTTTTCTTCTGTTTTTAATAAGAACTGTACAATCCCAGAGACTGTCAGAAATAAAACCGAGGATATCAGCAACTGGTTTTATTCTACTAGCAAAGCAGCTCTGGATTCGGTGGCACCGTTAAAAACTAGACTTGCAAAATCCAAACATGAACCCTGGTTAAATGACGACACTCGGGCTGCCAGGAGGAACTGTCGTAAAGCTGAACGAAAATGGCAAAAGGATAATTTGCAGGTGTCGCTGCAAATATTGAAGGAATGCTGGCGCTGTTATCAAAGGATTGTAAAAGACGCTAAAAGAAGATACCTGACAAATATAATTGTATCAAACAGTTGCAATCCAGCTATTTTATTTAAAACTATTAACTCTGTTCTAAATGCCCCACATGGTGCTTTTGTGGAGACTTCCCCTGCTGTTTGTGAAAGCTTTTTAAACTTTTTTGTTGAGAAAGTCACTTCTATTAGGGCACAGATCATACCCATTGTGTATGACCCTATTGATACTGTGTCTTGCCCTGCTGTTTTTAATAGCTTTGAATGTGTGACTTTGCAATCCCTGCAGGAGGTCGTTAGTCACTTGAAGCCAACTGGTTCTCCAGATGATGCTATTCCACCTCGACTGTTCAATGAGGTTTTTCATACTATAGGTCTGTCGATCCTTGCTCTTGTTAATAGTAGCTTGTCCTCAGGTGTTGTTCCTGAAAATCTGAAACATGCAGTTGTCCAGCCTCTAATTAAGAAATCAAATTTGGATCCTGCTGTCCTAGCGAACTACAGACCAATTTCAAAATTGCCTTTCATCTCGAAAATTCTTGAGAAGGTAGTTTATAAGCAACTAATGTCTTATCTCATTGAACATAATATTTTAGAGATTTTCCAATCTGGTTTTAGATCACTTCATAGCACAGAGTCAGCTCTCTTAAAAGTTTTTAACGATATATTTTGGGCAACTGATTCTGGTGACTGTGTTGTTTTGGTGTTGTTGGATTTATCAGCTGCTTTTGACACAGTTGATCACAGGATTTTAATTGCTCGTCTGGAACAATATGTGGGCCTTGGTCAAACAGCTCTAGACTGGTTTAAGTCTTATTTGACAAAACGCACTTTTTGTGTCTGTCTTGATGGCAATAGATCATCCTCTGCTCCGCTATCATGTGGTGTTCCGCAGGGCTCAGTCTTGGGTCCTCTTTTGTTCTTACTGTATCTCCTTCCTCTTGGCTCTGTTTTTAGGAAATACGGGATTGCTTTTCATTGTTATGCTGATGACACACAGATTTATTTACCTTTAAAGAAAGCAGATTCCACTTCTCTTCGGTCTCTGTTTCTATGTTTGGAGGATTTGAAGGCATGGATGGCCCAAAATTTCTTGAAATTAAATGAAGACAAGACAGAGGTAGTGATTTTTGGCAGCTCGAATGAAGACTCTCTGCCTGTTGATTGCTCTTTGGCTCAGTATGTCAGGCCAGTTGTTACAAATTTAGGGGTCAAGATGGATGCTGGTCTTAGGATGGAGTCTCAAATTAAAACAGTTGTAAAGTCAGGCTTTTTTCATTTGAGGCAGCTGGCTAAAGTAAAACCAATTCTTCCCAGACAGCATTTTGAAACAGCAATCCATGCATTTGTGACCACACGGCTAGATTACTGCAATGCACTTTACATAGGTATTAGTGATTCATGTATTTCCCAGCTTCAGAGGGTTCAGAATGCAGCTGCACGACTTTTAACAGGTACACGGAAATTTGACAGTATTTCTCCTGTTTTGGCCTCTTTACATTGGTTGCCGGTGCATTACCGGATTCATTTTAAAATACTTTTATTTGTTTTTAAAGCTTTAAATGGCCATGCCCCTCCATACCTGTCTGAGCTGCTACATTCTTACACACCCTCTCGTTCACTCAGGTCAGCTGACCAGTTGTTTCTGAAGGTCCCGAAGACAAAGCGTAAGCTTAGAGGGGACCGAGCTTTTTCTGTGATAGCTCCCAGGCTCTGGAATGACCTTCCATTGAACATAAGACAGGCCTCTTCAATTGAGGTTTTTAAGTCCCTTCTTAAAACTCATCTTTTTTCTTTGGCCTTTTAGCACAATCTGAGATGTTTTACCTTGTTTTATTGTGTTTGTATTTTATTTTATTATTTTATTCCTGTTTTAAATTTTACCCTTCCATTTTATCATTGTATTGTATTATATAATTGTGTAAAGCACTTTGGTCCTGTTGGGTGCATAAAGTGCTCTATAAATAAAGTTGGTTTGGTTTGGTTAAATTCTTATTACAGTTTCTTTTACAATTTATATTTTTGCTATTGTTGGATGCAACTAGGACCCTTTGTACAGAATTTCATTCCACATGTGATGTGAATGACAAAGAACCACGATACTAGCAATCACAGCATTGTAAGAGGGGGACAGTTGAACCCGGAGGCTCCGCCCCTGTTTAATGATGGACAGTTGAACCCGGAGGCTCCGCCCCTGTTTAATGATGGACAGTTGAACCCGGAGGCTCCGCCCCTGTTTAATGATGGACGATTTCTTTTCACAAAGATGGCCTCCTTTACGGGCAGCACGGTGGCGCAACTGGTAGAGCTGCTGCCTCTCAGCGAGCAGGTCCCTGGTTCAAACCCCGGTCCAGGGGCCTTTCTGGGTGGTTTGCATGTTCTCTCCGTGCATGCGTGGGTTTTCTCCGGGTACTCCAGTTTCCTCCCACAGACCAAAAACATGCATGTTAGGCTGATTGGTAACTCTAAATTGTCCCTAGGTGAGAGAGAGAGAGTGAATGGTTGTTTGTCTCGTTTGTCTCTATGTGTCCCTGTGATGGACTTGCGACCTGTCCAGGGTGTCCCCCGCCCCTCGCACAGTGATTGCTGGACATGGGCACCAGCGACCCCCGTGACCCAAAATGGAATAAACGGGTAAAGATGATGGATGGATGGATGGGCCTCCTTTACTCCTCTCTCAAACCATCGTTCCTCTCTGTCCAGGATGTGAACATCTTCATCCCTGAAAGAGTGACCGCTGGCCTGGAGATGAGTGTAGACCTCAGAGTCCTGGCCTGATGATGTTGATCTTCTGTGCTGGTCCATCCTTTTGGCCAGTGGCTGTTTAGTTTCCCCGATGTAAGACTGATCACCCTCCTGACACTGAACAGCATACACAACATTACTCTGTTTGTGCCGGGGGACTGGATCTTTGGGATGAACCAGTCTTTAATGTGTTTTGGGGTTTAAAAGTCACTGGGACGTTGTGTTTAGAAAATAAACGTCTCAGTTCCTGAAACTCCTGCAAGGTAAGGACCCTTTTCTTGTCTGTTCTGAAATCTAAAATTATTGTATTTACTGAATCGCTGATATTTTCATGAAAAATGTCGTACAGAAAGAATAATTTTGCTGTGTGAAAAAAGAATTTCAATATTTTACATACTATAGGTAAGATGTAATATATTAAATATTTTTAAAAATGTGTATTAAAATAATCTTTTGGTTCAAGACTGCAATCACCTTTTGTTCTACTGTAAAAAAAAAAAAAAACCTTAAGGTTTAAAAGTACAGCTAATTTCTGTCCCAATCCAGGAGATCCAAACTTTAAATTACGTTAAATATGTTTTTCTAATGAGTGGTTGGTTCCTGACCTTCTTTGGCAAGAAGTAGACTCCCAGCGGGTACTTTGCCGTGTTCGTCCACAACTCAATCTGGGCCAGCACCTACAGGACAAGACCCAAATTATTCCAGCAGCTTAATCCAGCAGCGTTCTTTCATCATCTCAAAGCAAAAACTGCTAAAGCCTCAGCACAGGAAATAACTTCATGATGCGAGTGCACCATTCCTCCTGCTCCGAGTTCTACTGGAAGCCACTGGGGCCGGTGGTACCTGGTTGGTGAAAGAGTTGCTCATGACAAACGACGGGTGTCCCATGGCACAGCCGAGGTTGACCAGCCTGCCTTCTGCCAGGACGATGACGTGACGCCCGTTCTTCAGACGATAGCGATCCACCTGATAGACGAGGAAGAGGATGAGCAGACCCGGAGCAGCCACAACAAGATCGCTCCGAGCTCAGTCAAATATAACTACAACTCTGAAGCAGGTATTTTTGACTTCTTCTACTTTAGCTTTTCACCAACCATTTATTTTCAGCCAGATCAGCCAACTTTCAGCTGATGGTTACTGTTCCTACATAAAGCTACAACTGTCGGGTTCAGCAAACTTCTTGCTACTTTTAGTTTCCAGCTCATGTTTTGGCAACTTAGGATAATTCATGTTCTGAATTTTGATGAAGTCTTAGCCGATGTTCATCATTAAATCACTTCCTGGTCTGCTGCCTTCATACATCTCCTCCTACATGTCTCTGTGTGAGTGCAGCTACAGCGTGCGCTCTCAGGACATCATTACCTGCAGTGTTCCCTCAGTGAGGACTGAACTAGACAAAAGGACCTTCTCCTACTCCGCTCCCGTTTCCTGGAACATCTTGTAACAAGATCTGAAGCTCTCGACCTTTGACCTCTCCAAGTGGTTTCAAACATCTGTTCAGTTCCCGAGAACAACCAATGCAGATGTTCCTGTTCTTAGTTTTCTACATCACCTTATAAAATCTAGCTGTTTTTGTTTTGTTGCATTTCTTTTAATCATCATTTTATGTTCACTTGTTAAAAAAAAATAATTATTTCCACGCATCATTTGACTGTTCACTGTTGTCACTCTGTTAAAATCTGGTCTCTCTTGTGAATGAGACCGAGGCTCAATGGGACTAACCTGCAGAAATAAAGGTTGAGAGTTACAACGAACGAAGCTTCGACTCATAAATCTCTAACCAGAAAACTCACTGATGACGTTAACTGGTGATATGCGACTATCTGTGCTGCTGATTATCCATGCTGCTGATCTCATGCCTTTAAGCTGCTATATTCATACACATCTGCTCACAACACACTCATGTTCAGGCTGCTGCTTAATACACTTTTATATCATATCGGTGTTTAGTGTATACATCAGATCCTCGTGTACAGGTTTTTTTAAGTTTATATTTTTGCTATATTTGAGTGCAACTGGAACCTTGAGTACACCATGTCATTCCACCTCATGATTATGCAAAGAACCATGAATCTTATTTTCACAGTGGACAGTCGTCAGACTTTGATTTAATTTCAAAACACAAGGTTGTTAAGCCGAGTGTAGGCGACGAGTCGAGTCGACTCCTCCGAGTTGTAGAGCGTCGGTGCAGACCCCCGCCTGATGCTCTCTGCCCCCTCATGACGCAGCGTCAACACACAGCTGAGCTGCAACGCCTCAAGGGGCATTCAAACGACTTCAACATCCAATCATTGGAAAAGTATTTTATATCCTTTAACAAAACCTTGCAAAGCTCAACTTGACATCATCAATGAGGTACATAAACACAAAAGACTACAAAGGAAGAATCCAACGGTTCACTTTAACACCTGGAGAGCTGGTGCACGAAGAACAACCTTCACATCAATGTGATGAAGACGAAGGAGATGATCGTGGACTTCAGACGGAACAAACACACCTATGGTGGTGAAGGCTGCACAGAAGATGTTGGAGTCAGCCTCCCCACCATCACAGACATCTACACCTCCGGATGCAGGAAGAGGGCCACCTGCATCATGAAGGACCACACTCACCCAGCACACACACTTTTTGCCCCCCTCCCCTCAGGAAGGAGGTTGAGGAGCATTAAATGTAGAACCACTAGACTGAGGAACAGCTTCTACCCTGAGGCTGTTAGACTCATGAATCTCTAACCAGGAGAGTCACTGTGATGACACTTTAATTCTATTCAGTTTATTTATAAAGCTCCAAATCACAACAAAGTTGTCTCAGGGCCTTTACAGAAACATTCACATAAAAGCTAATTAGTAAAGTTCTCCATCTAAGGAATCAGCAGACAAGTTGAATCTTTGAATATCACCGTTGATATGTGCTGCTGATCTCATGCTGCTGATCTTTGCTGCCGTGTTCATTCGTGCTCATCTGCTCACACAGACTCATGTTCGTGCTGCTGTTCGAAGTCTTGTTCTGATGTTACTGGTGCTCAGTGTATTTTTAGTTGACGTTTCTTAGATCTCACAGTTTTTCTTTACAATTTATACTTTTGTTGGATGTAACTGGGACCCTGTGAACATAATTTTGTTCCACCACATGTACCACATTGGTGCGAATGTCAAAGAACCGTGACTTGATAACTAAAGCCCAACATGTATCGATGGGGCCAATATTTTAGGCTGATCGGCATTTGGGGACCCATCAGTATCAGTGATAATGGTCCCATTACGCACCAGTATAAATACTTCTAATGCCTCTTCTCCATTAGCAACAGTTCGTGGAACCAGTCTTTTCTTCTGGAGTTCCAAGCGAGCCGAACTGGCACTAAAACGTGACGTCAGAACACCGTCAGCCACTGATTGGTCAGGGGGCGGAGTCACTGGTTGTTTAAAATGGGTCTAGTCGCTCATCGAGTTGTTGTGAAAGTTTCGTAAAGATTTTAAAATAATGACAACACCGTGGTCTAACGATGAAGTGCAGGAGTTTGTAGTGCTTTGTGGCCGACAACAAAATTCAGAGTGAGCTGGATGGAGCTCTGCCGGTCCTCGACTCCCCCCATCCTCTCCACCAGAGCCCCACCAGGCTCCGAGCTCTGCTGGTCACCGGAGGATCATACGAGCTGCTAACCCGTTGAAGCGTGCAAGGCCCGGTCTTGCGTGCTTTATCGGTCGGGCTCCAATTAGAAGCATGCGTGATCTTTGTGTAAATCCAGTTTTGCTCTCACCTGAGGTTTAACGTTGATCCTCTCTGCAGCGTTCTTGTTGAGCCAGCTCATGTCGATCTCACAGTCAAAGTGTCCGATGTTGCAAACGATGGCATCATCCTTCATGTTCTCAAAGTGGCTGAGTAATAAGCAGTCCATGAGGGGAACATCACTTCATAGGATCTTTTACCAACATTCAGCTGAACGCCTGCTTGGTCCAACTTACTGTCCCAGGATGATGTCTTCACAGCCGGTGGTGGTGACGAAGATGTTTCCTTCCTTACTGGCCTCATCCATGGTGGTAACTTCATATCCTGAGGAGCAAAACAATATGGACGAGTTACAGACCGAGCTGCCATGGCTAAAAAAAAAAAAAAAAAAAAAAAAAAAAAGAGTGTGGATTTAGAAGTTCCACTGATAAACTATATTCAAGAGTTTTATCTGTAGTGCAGCTGATGCAGTTTTATTCAGCAACTACTCCGAGTGTTCATTTGTTAAAAGATGTGAAACTTTACGCGTCTCGACTCGAGGCCACATCGGACTCGTTTCCACGTGGCAGAGAGCTGTTGTGGAAAGAGCCTTCAACGGTAGTTCAAACCCACACTGACCCTCCATGGCAGCCTGCAGGGCGTTGATGGGGTCGATCTCCGTCACAATGACCCGAGCTCCGAACGCCCGCAGAGCCTGGACGCAGCCTTTACCCACGTCACCGTAACCGGCCACCACGGCCACTTTCCCAGCGATCATCACATCGGTGGCTCGCTTGATGCCGTCGATCAGACTCTCCCTGCAGCCGTACAGGTTGTCGAACTTACTCTGCATGCGACACAAAGAGAAACCACGAGGAGGCGACGGATTAGGCTGGTGTCAGTGCTGAGTCAGCGTTCAACTGTTTGAAACAACAAAAAGGGTCCAGGAAAAATAAAGTAAACCTGTTTATGCAAACGTCTGTTTTAGCGTTCATGCATCATTCATGACGAGGTGCTGCGACTGGGTTTCTGTACCTCTGAAAGATTTCTAAACATTTTTCCACTTTACCTCAATTCTGGATGCGCCGCTAGCCTTTTGCTGCTTTTAGTTAATGTTCTGCTTTTTAAACAATATTTAGCTTCAGCTTTTAAAGATTTTCAGCCATGTCGTTCAGCATGCTTGCATTTTCAGAGATGATGTTTCTGGTTTAACAAAGTTACGTCAGGTCCTCTGGACGGGTCAGGGCCCACCCAGAGGACCTGACGTTTTTCTACCTGGATTATTGAGCAGCACTCAGGATATTTCTAGTTTCACAACCGCAATTCTGTAATTACTTTAACAAAATGTGTTTCAAGTCAACAAGTTACTGTCAATAAATGATAAACTAAAACCAAATTATTAAACTAGATCCATAAAAATGTTCAACTTTCAAGTCCCATGGTTTCATTTATATTCTTATTTCTTTTCACCTTCAGCTGGTTCACAGGACAAAGTGCAACCCTGAGAGGAGTTACCTTGGTGACGGAGTCGTTCACGTTGATGGCAGGGATCTTCAGCTCGCCCTTCTTCAGCATCTTGTACAGGTTGTGAACACCTGTCGTGGTTTCCTCCGACACGCCACGAATACCTGAAATTTCATTCAACCTTTATTTCTACAGGATCATCCCATTGAGCCTCAGGGACTCGTCTACAACAGAGACCTGATTTAACAAAGAAAGATGACGACAGATGATCAAAGGATTCTGATTCTGTACAAACTGAGAACAAGTGAAAATAAAACTATTTAAAAAATGAAATAAAACCATAGATTATAAGGCGGTGTAGAAAACTAAAAACAGGAACACGTCTTGTGTTGTTTCTCCATGAACTCATCAGATTCTTAAAATCACTTAGAGAGGTCAAAGGTCAAGAGCTTCAGGTCTTTTTACAAGATGTTCCAGGAAACAGGAGCGGAGTAGGAGAAGGTCCTTTAGTCTAGTTCAGTCCTCACTGAGGGAACACTGCAGGTAATGATGTCCTGAGAGCGCACGCTGTAGCTGCACTCACGCAGAGACATGTAGGAGGAGATGTATGAAGGCAAAATAAAAGTCAACATAGAACGTCTTCCTAACCGGTCACTTCAATATTCTCATGGAAATGTTTTGGTGCAGGTCTTTTGCAGGAGTGAAAGGAGCAAACTTCATGAACACGCCTGCTGGTGGCGAGACCGACTCGAGTCCTCCGAGTTGTAGAGCGTCGGTGCAGACCCCCACCTGATGCTCTCCGCCTCCTCATGACGCAGCGCCACTCTGCTGAGCTGCAACGCCTCGAGGGGCATTCAACCCGATCACCTGCTGAATGTGATGATTTCAGCTGCTCCCCTCTGCAGGGGACAGCACCACCTTGGTGTCTGTGCACGTGGTTGGCACGAGCACACTCGCATGAAGGACTTGGAAACTATTTTTACAGGGGACGCCCTTCCTGATGCAACCTGGGCTTGAACCCACAACCTCAGGATTGCAAGATCGTGGCACCGAGCTACCGCAGCCCCAGAGGACGGATGTAAACAAAAATTAAACTAGTGATTCAAACTGTGACGTTTTTAACGTGGGAATTTGTACAATTTTTCAAAAGATTCCAAGTTAAAGAGAGAAAAGTTGGTTTTAATATTTTAACAAGTAAAAATACAAGAGAATATGAAGCCGAGTTGTCTAATAAGAAAAGAAAAAAGCTAGTAATTTATGGAATAAATGTATTTTCTTCCCAAAAAAAGATCAACTTTCCCACTTTAAGACTAGTCCTGAGTGAAAAGGACCTTTGTCCTTTAAACTAACAGAGACTGGAAGTCAAACATTTAAAGAGACAGCGCCAAGTCCCAACATGCGTCGTCTCAGGGCACTGTACAGAAACATTCAAACATAAAAACAATTAGTAAAAACTACGGATCTAAGGAAGCCTGCAGAGTTTGAAGTTTAGATTCACTACGGTTAATCAAGGGTTGACAGTTCCCACACACGTTTCCCAACAGGACTGGACGAGGTGTCGAGTTATTTGCAGAGTCCAGGAGTAGGTGACAACAGTTAATCAGTAAATATGATTTATGCAAATAAACAATTGTGTTGCCTGCAGAACATGTCACAACCACGTCTACATCAGATTAGAAACAGCTTCTGTGACTCGGTCACTAAGGCCTTGCAAGATGAACCGGCCTCAATCCAAGCAGTGCTGCTCGAAGACTAACCTGCGAGCAGTTTGGGGTGCTTCTGGTGGACCAGGTTGGTGAGGTCTCCTCCATCATCCAGGATCATGTTGAGGGGCTCACCATCTTTGAAGTACAGAGTCTGTTCGATGCACCACACATACTCCTCGTCCGTCTCACCCTTCCACGCGTACACTACAACAAATACAGTCTCTTATGGTCTTCCTCCCAGAACAGTCTGCCTGGATGATTCTGAACTCGTTCACAAATGGAAATAAATTATTTTGCTAACACAGATCTGTGCTGCTACATTAGCAGAGTCCACTTATTGTTAACTATTCCTGTAGTAGAAACGTGTTGCAGTCTTTTTGCAGAGCCCTAAAACCATCACACCTGTAAAACCTATAATCATGACCGTCTTCAGTCTTCTATTACAGTTAGCATGGCGTTTTCAATGTATGCTAATCTGTGGTCCTGTAATTAATGTTTCGACACGTTCCACCGTCATCAGTAATTCTGTCTGATGAACAGGAGCCGACAGCTGCCACCTGATTTATTCAAACTTCACAACTGCTGATCACTGAGACGCATCAATGTGTGTTTTAGAACTGCACCACCGCGCTCTGCACTGAAAGATAATCCCACGGTGGTTAAACATTACCATCCTACAGCAGGCACGTCGTGCAGGAGAGTTACCTGGAACGCCAGATTTGGCAATGGCAGCAGCGGCGTGATCCTGAGTGGAGAAAATGTTACAGCTTGACCACTGAACCTGAAAAACAAAAGAAATTTAAATTAAAAAAGAGTGAAGGCAACATGGTGGAGCAGTTTGTAGAGCTGCTGCCCGTCAGCGAGCAGGTCGCCTGTTCAAATCCTGGCTGGGTGGAGTCTGCGTGTTCTCGCCGTGCTGCGTGGGTTTTCTCCGTGAACTCGTTTCCTCCCACAGACCAAAAACATGCACGTTAGACGACCGGTGACTCTGAAAAGTCTCCAAGTGTCCCCGTGACGGACTGGAGACATGTCCAGGTGTCCCCTGCCTCTTGCAGTGACCGCTGGACATGAGCACCAGTGACTCCTGTGAACCGAAGGGAAGTGGGTGAAGGCCATGGATGGATGGATGGATGGAAAGACATCAGAAAAAATAAAATAAAAGGAGTAAAAACTCCAGCAGTTTTGGTTAAATTAACTTTGGTTTATCAACTTTAAGGGATTATTTGGCCCTAAAAGTTGACCAGGCTTCTGATGAGTTTCTCCAGTAACGTAGAACTTAAAACCTAAAATGTTAATAAAGTGACAAACAGCTGAAAACAAGTAAAAATCTAAGCTAAATTAGAATACATCTAAGAAAAAAGGTTAAATATATCAAAGTAGATTCTTGACTGTGGGAGGTGGACCAGTGGCTCCTGATGCGCTGCATGTCGAGTCTCAGTGCTGCATTTTACAAAATGCTTTAAAATTGTATTTAGCTTGAAATGATTGTAGACGACAGTAAGAAGAGGCTTCTATAAACGCCACCAATACTACCATGGTTGCTGCAGGTTTAGTGCATTTCAGAAGGAGCATCTGATGGTGCTCATCCATTTCCTCTCAATAACCAGAGTAATTCAGTCAGTCGGGCCAAAACACATTTCAGCCTGAACAAAAAGCAGAAAGTCAAAACAGCCGAAGGGGAAGTGACAAATCCGGCTGCCGTTGGTTCAGAGTGCAGGTCTCTGCAGGATCAGACCAGTCCTAGTCTGATGGATCAAACCGGCACGATAAAAAAACAGGTTGACCTTGAGAAACGTGAAAACACTCGGCTCGTGTCAATACAATGATCAATAGATATGCCCCCCCCAGCACCTTGGAGCGAGGCAGACGATGAGAAAAGAAAGCAGGACACCTAGAACCAAACTTTGACAAAAACAACTTGTTGCTACATTTACTGACACAATGCATCTCTAACAAATGGGAACTTCTATAAACACATTCCTCAGAAACAAACAGTGACGTTCAGTCACAATTTGAAATAATTTTAATCCCAGAGAAAAATCGACTCCAACTGTATAAAACACACGTCCCTCCACAATAAATAGATTTCCACTAATTAGCAACTGAACGAGTCTGCATCTCCCTTAGTTCGTTAACATTTATATTCTCTGCACACGACTTAACAAAACATTTGACCCAAATCAGTTGAAACAAGGGGTAGGGTGTCACCTCTGCTCCGAGGGCTTTGAGGGTTTCGATGAGCACGGCGGTCTGCAGGGTCATGTGCAGGCAACCAGCGATGCGGGCTCCCTTCAGAGGCTTGGACTGGCCGTACACCTCCCTCATCTTCATGAGGCCAGGCATTTCGTTCTCGGCTATGTCGATGGCCTTTCGTCCCCATTCAGCCAGGCTGATGTCGGCTACAAGAACAAGGAGAGATGATGGACAAGAAGCTCAAAAACAACCAGGATTCTTCTCCAAACCTCTACATTTCAGGTACTGTGAGAAGATGCAAAACATGAAAACTCTCCCCTTTCCAGCCATGTTGCAGTGGGAAAGTTATGTCACGCACAGCTGTGACAGCAGGTTGCACCGTCAGAGATAAACCTACACAAGGAGTCTTTTCAGTTTTACAGCAGCTGCTGCAGTTTTCCTCCATGCGTCTTTCGTACGGTTCATAAAAGTTTTAAACCAACAAGACCCAACATTACTTCCACAGTCCACACAGACTCGTGTTCAACATTGTTGTTGTACTAGTGCTTAGCGTATTACTAGTTTAATGGTTTTATTGGGTCATACCTTAGCGCTTACATTTTCTTTTACACTTGATCCTTTTGTCGGATGTAACTGGGACCCTGTGTACGGTTTCATTCCACCACATGTACCACACGTGATGTGTACGACAAAGAAACTCACATGCAAGTCACAAGCGCACAGTTACTACTCCTTAATATAATGTGAGATACTTATCTGAAACAAAAAAACATGTTTTCTCCGATCATAGATTTTATTTTTAGCAGAAAATGTTTTTTATTTTTGGCTTTCAACTTTGAGTAGAACACAATTAGTTGTTGCTTTTTTTTTTTTTTTACTGTTCACAATTTACTCATTACACGTATAAAATATCAGTAAGCAGCTAAAGAAACTGCACTGATCGACTTGTTTTGAATAAGTGAGATTGCAAAAAAACATGTTAAAACTTAAAGAACATTCTGAGTTAAACTCTTGACCCCTGACTGCACAGTCCTTGGACTTTGTCCACTTTAATCTGTCAAGCAGCGCATGCTTCACCTCCTTCAGCTAAATACCTACACAAAAACAGGTGTTCCTAAAAATTATATACATATTATACACATTTTGTTTTTCCTTTTGTGGGATCAACAAATGAGTTGTTTTTGTCTTGAACGTTTTTGAATTTATCGGATATTAACGCATAATTTAGCACATGTGACGTCTCGAGAGAGAAACTGGACACAACTTTAAAATCTAAGCACTGGGCTCAGAAACGCCTCGTGCAGCCTCCTGCGCCTGTCACTCAGATGGACGCCCCGGGCGGCGCGAGGCATCATGGGAAGTTGAGTTTATAAACAGAGCTCGACCAGAGAGGCTGCTTCACTAGAAAACTACGTTATCCAGAGGCATGAATGAGTAGATAAACCTCGCTGCTCCGCGCGTGCACGGTGCTTACATACAGGCTTACATTTTCGAAGCTGAATTAAGTCCCTACATTATGAAAATTAAAACAGCAAAAGATACGAATAACAGCTTAAGTGAGCGGCGAGCATCAAATGAAGCTGCTGAGAAGCCGCAACTAAATTATATGCAGCGCACATGCTAGTAGTAGCAAGTTTAAGTGAGCAACAACGCAGCCTGACAATTAATTTCATATTAAAGCACACCCAGTCGGGCTGAGGTGTACAATACTTAGTTAGCTTCAGGCTAATTCCGCCTGCTGCGCGAGAGCGTGTGCTAACAGCTGCACACCAAACTGCTAGCAGACCAACGCAAAACAAACAAAAAAAACGTTTCTGAATGGCGCAATATGAAAGACAGCCACGAACCAACTTTGTAGGGAAGTTTCTCAGACATTGTTGTTTTTGATGTTTGGTTCCGGGGAGCGTGACTGAGGCTGCTGCCTGGCCGACGGACAGAGGCGGAGAGGGAGGAACTGAAACATGACGGCTCCTTTTTATCCTCGAAGCTCCATTCAAACCAGTTCCACGAGGGGGGCGGTACGACGCCATTTCATTCTTGATTTCTAGTGGCTGTTACTGCAGTTCCCGCCCCAAAGCGACGATGTGATTGGACAATGCTCCAAGTAACTAGCCAATCATTGCTTGAGTTACGAATCGACGTGCCAGTCCAGAGGGTCCATAGATATATAAAAGCTAGATACAGCACTGACCGCCTCAAATATGAGAGCTCAAATATATAAATATATATAAAAATATATATATAAAATATATATGTATATATGTTTTCAGTCAACCTATGCATTGTTCCCTCAGTGAGGACTGAACTAGACAAAAGGGCCTTCTCCTCCTCCGCTCCTGTTTCCTGGAATATCTTGTAAAAAGATCTGAAGCTCATGACCTTTGACCTCTCTAAGTGTCTTTAAAAATCTGTTGGACTCCTGGCAGGGACCAATGCAGACATGTTCCTGTTTTTAGTTTCTACATTCGCCTTAGAATCTAGATGTTTTTTGTTACTTTTCTTTTTTTAGCCATCCTATTTGTTCAAAACAATTGTATGACTTTTTATAACTGTTTATTGTTGTTGCTGTTGTCCATGTTGTCATCATTCTTGGTTAAATC